TGAGTTAATTAATTTTTGGGGGGGACAGCTCTATTCAGACTAAACTCGAGGGGTCCTATCAGAACCGAGCGGTTTTTGAACAGTGTCATTTTATACGTAATGCAAAAACAAATGACAGTCAAGTGTTTCAAACAGCATCATGTGTTCCAGTAGATGCTGGCTTTTGTCTTGAAATGTGTAAAAACTGGCAAAAACACAAAAACTGAGCCTTGATGGAGCATTTCTACTTTGAAACTGCAGCATACTAATAACGGTTTCAAAATCTCGGATTCAGCCATCTGGGGTTTCATATGTCACAACCCAGATGAACCAATCCTGTCAACTTGTCAGGTGGAGCTTTCGGTATTCTTTTTTTTCCTCTACAGAATCAGTTTCTGGTCTGAATGTCTATGGCTTAATCACCCCAATATTACAAATTTCCACTGTGTAGCGTAGTTTTACAGTTTTTAAGCAGAGTCATAGGTGAGCTGGTGTGCTCGAGCTGCACTGAGTCGGTGGTGAGAAAGGCGAGGACTTCATAGATCCGCACATTCTAGTGAAAACAACACTGTAGAGTTACATCTGAGCAATTTTAAGGCAGGAAGGGATTATTTTCATGGAAATATTCTCAGCATGTAACTCTGACACACAGAAGTGAGGTTTCAGGGAGTTTATTAGCGACCGGAGAGCAACCTCAAAAGCTTATTTTGCTAGTGAACATCTATTTGTGCTCAAGTCTTTTCTCAGTTTTCAGCTTTCTGCAGCCCAAAGCATTTGATTGGTGGTTGCTGTGATGTGGCTCCATACATCAGCTTATGAAGCATAAACTTTGTCACCGGGTCAAGTAGGACGATACGTTCTGTCTAAAGTTTGCACAAAGAAAATAAGCCGCAGCACGCAAGTGTTTAAATTGAGGCAAGAGACAAAAAACAAATGAAGTCAGTGACAGTGAAATGTGACTGACCTGGGCTTGGCAAAGGAAGCAATATAATATTTTGACAGTGGAAATTGCTATTTTAAGAACTCTTGAGGAAAGCATCTCCAGTTGTTATGCCTTTTAAGACAGCATAATTGACCAGCTGTCTACAGGAAAGCTAGACTAAAAATGCTAATATGTTGATGTTTAGCAAGCAGCAAACACTGATGGCGTAAGTGTGCCAACAAGTAAAAATGCGACGTAATAATGTTTGTGCTGCACACAATGACTGAATCATTCGTGCAAACCAATTGTGTGGATGCATGCATGTGCCGCCAATGTGCCACGTACTCGGCTTTTGCATATAAGATGCTATATGAATGACAGCATTGGTTTGAGATGTTACTGGTGATATTTCTGAAATCCACATATGTGAAGTGAGGAAGGGAACGACCACAACGGCTTTGGAGCAGTAAAGATTCATTTGATTGCCGCTGCCATAACCACAAGCAAACACACCACTGACTATTATGGTAAGTGAAGAGCACAGTAAATGCCTAATGATGACAGTATTAGCTGTAAAATGCTGCTTCTCTCCAGATATTTCAATACATACTGTACATTCGAGTGCAATTGTCATGCAAGCAGAGCCGTCATTCCATTTGGGAGATTGTGCAAGCATATTTTACAATGCCAGCCATTCTGGCCAAATTTGTTTCATTGGCGTTACTCAACTTTTGGCAGGATTAACTTAAAGGGGATATTTGAAGTAAATCTTAACTAAAAAGACCATTACTACCTAACCTTTTTATTTTCATCATTCCCAAAACTATTGTATTTTACGGAGGTTGTGTGATTTGCATGTTACGTGTGTGACTCTCTCCAGCTCTCAGTGCTTTAAACGTTTTCGTTGCCAGATTTCCTTTTTGGATT